TATATATATATATATATATATATATATAACTATGAATCCAAGTAAAGTGATATTGCTGTAACCAGTATGAACTTTAAAGCATCTATCCTTAACATTTTGTCCTGCGTTACATCTACTTTTATTTAGCTTTATTTATTTTTAAAACTAGTACTTTTACTTGACTAAAAAGCTTGATACTTCTACAATAGCGGTATTAAATACTAGGATCTATACTATTACTTGAGTAGTAAAATAATTTCGACTCTGCTTATGAATAATTCTGAAGAAATATCTGTAATGTATTTACCTACATTACAGATATTTGTTGCGGTTTTTTGTCAGGTTGCAGTTTATTTTTAAAGTTAAAAATAAATGAATAAACTTTAAACTACCTGTGGAGTAGTTGTGGCTCCTGTCCTGAAGCCGCGCCTGCTGGCTGACAGGACGCGCGCGTCTTTATGCTGATAAAACCGCTTTAAAGATCAAACTTCTTCCTATCGGTTCCTCCATTTATTGTTTAGGAAAACATTTAGTTCGGATTTTAAACTCATTCCGTTTACTGTGCTTCTCTCTTCCTGTTTACATCTGAAGTTTTTTTTTTGCAAACCAAGAGAGAGAGGGGAGGGAGAGGAAGAAAGGGACTGGGCTTCTGGATTGGATTCCTTTTTTTCATTTTTTATTTATTTTAATAACCGGTCTCTGAGTGGTGTTGATTTTTTTTTTTATCTTGAGCAATAAAACTGGGAATAATCACGAGAATGACTCGGTGTAGTTTTTCAGAAGTGGGATTGTTTAGCATAACTCTGTGTTTCCTGCTTGCACTTCAAATCCCAACCACTCTTTGCTTCCCCTCCTCATTCCTTGTACCACTTATCAGCATCATGGGTCTGCAAGAACATTTTGTCCTTGATCGTTCTCTGGTTTTATGTAAGATCTATACATGAAAGAAATGTGTTGATATACCAAAGTACAGATAGTTGAATGACTTTATCATTTTTAATTACACGTGTATTTTAGGGGAGATTTAAAATTGCTTTTTTATTATTTTTTTACCATGTGATTTTTTTTTATATCTATTTCAGATTTTTTACTTTCCAATTAGACCCAATCTTAAAAAAAAAAAAATCCAGTAGAATTATCACTCATTAACCTCATATTGTCTAATAATCCACATAATTGCTTCCCCTCTTATTTGATTGAGTGTTTTGATCTGTAGAACCAACCTTAGCATCTCAAAATAATATTTGATTTTGAAGTATAATACATTTTATCAACAAAAAATTTTTTTCTCTTATCGAAGTTATAAAACTTAATATTCTGAGTCAGACAGGAGTTTTGAAGACTGCTTGAAAAATGAATAAGGAAAGACTGACTAGAGGAGAAAATGTGAGGGTTTCCCTTTTGTCAATACTTCTTTGTTAATGTTTTCATTTTTTGAAGACCCTTTTAGGCAGTTCAGGTATAAGTAGCAGGTTTTATTTCTTTTATAGAGTATAACAACATGAGATGGTGCCTAAACATCTGCTATTTTTTGTTTAGAAAGCATAATTAGGTTTCCATATAATCATAGTGCTTTTATTGACAATTTCTACTTTCTAATATAGGATAAAGACAAGTACAAACAGATGAACACTAATTACATTGATTTTATTTTACATAGATTTAAATTAGTACAAACATTAGCGTCTGGTAAAAAAAAAAATGCTTGAATATGGCTGTTTATTTTAGTGTTACATCTTCTTTTATAGTTTCTAAAAGTGATTTTATATTTGAATAACCTTAGGGTCATTCTTAGTGTTGTGCTTTTATGATGCCACTAAAAAAGAAAATAGTCATAAGGAGCTATTTTAAACTCAGCAAGTAAAATAGGATGATATTAAAAGGTTGTTTTACATTTAATCCTTTAATATTAAAAACACCCTTAAAAACTCAGAGTTTACTGAAGAAAATCTCCTACCGACTGGGTTAGCCCTCGGAGAATGTTACTACTGTATGGTGACTGAAACAGAAATTGAGTAAACTCTCTTTGAGAAACGGAAAACTCAATAGTTTCCCATTTTTCAGATTCAGTAAACAAAGTTTTCATTAAACCTGCTTTATGTAACAGACCCCAGCGGTCAGACTTTAGAATATTTGGGTAAACAAGAGTTCATGTTTGCAAAATTACTTCAGATCTCAGAGCATATAATCCAAACCTTCAGCCTTCCATCGCCATGCTGGACAGTTGGCATAAGATGATGTGAGACCATTTATTTTGTTTGGTCTTCTTCAAACAAGGTACTGTGCATTATGGGTAAAAGACCTATGCGTTGGTTAAATGGAGCCTAGGCGGAAGTTCAACTGAAGAAACTCATTGCTCTCCTACATCCACCTGCAACACAGCCAATCAGCTTTGAACCACACCTCCAAGAAAGCCAATCGGCATCCAAAGTTCATCTTAAAAGGCCTCCGATACGCACCTGTCTGCTCCTGTGCTCAGGCGGCGGATGCGCTGTGACTTCATTCAGATGACACTGTTTTAACCCACCTCCAGCCGATCCTCCACCGTTGTAGCTAAAGCTTCATCAGAGTTTCATTCTTACTGCGTTCCCTGTCTCATCTCAACCGGTCCGGCAGAAGACTGCAATGTTGAGCCTGGTTCTGCCAGAGGTTTCTTCCCAACGGGGAGTTTTTCTTCTCCACTGTCGCTTCATGCTTGCTCATCATTGACAGGTTCTCTCAACCTGTGTTATCCAAGCTAGACTTCCATCTTCCAGGTCCCTGAATATAGCTCTAGTGTCAGCTCACACAGTCCACTGGATCTCCCCATAAAGCTCAGCAGACCGTCTCACTAACCAGCAGTCTACAGACTGACCAACTTCATCTATCTCCACTCCCCCACCAGTTTCAGGCCTGGGGGGGAACAGCCCTGACCTTTGCTTCTGTTCATGCATATCTAACAAAATTAAGCGCTATGTTTCCTGCCGAGGTCTGAGCGCCAAACACTAAGTAATTGGTTCAAAAAAATTCTCCTAATTGTCTTTTCTCTTCATGTGAGTTTTCCAGATTGAAATATTGTGCTTCACTCAGATCCAAGTTTTAAATGTCGCTTACTTCTTCATTTCCCTCCTTCCCTTTTCATACTTGTCCTGTCATGAACTTCAGCTGAAGCTTGTAGAGTCTGAGGCTTTTGGTTTGTCTCAGCATTCTTTATTTGAAATTACTTTTTCTGAGATAACCTAAATGAACGTTTCCTATCTGTGTATAATGATTAGTTATGTTGTATACTAATCTTTTAATGGCTTTGGAACAGGTTTTATGTGCTACGGAGATTGACTGGAGGCAACAGTTGGTTCTTTAATGCAATAGTTCATGTTTTTTTTCTCTTAAAATGTTATCAACATTTCAGAGCAGCAAACTATTTCTGCATTCTCTTTTAAATCCTGATGAGTTGAATTTACAGTTTTCCCATCCATGGTTGCACTGACACCTAAAAGACACACACAGCTACTGTACACCCAGAGACTTCAGACTATTTGCTCCCCTTGTTGTGGATTTTTTTTTTCCAGTCATTGACGCAAAAGTCAAAACCTGTCTGAACCATTCACTCAGAGCCTACAAACCCCTCCTATGTACAAATCTGTTGCATAATTTCCAGTCTCCAAACGTTTGCCTGTTGTTTCCTCTGAGACCCTGATAAGTTATTAACAGAACTAAAATGGAACTAGAGTAAAAGGCATAGAGTCGGTGTGATTGCAGGGTGTATTTGCATGTCTTTATCTTTTAACGTTAAATCCTTTGCCAACTCTGGGTGAAACATTTTCTTCCCAAATTAGATAAAAAAATATATAAATGGGAGTTTGTAGATCACTTCAGCACATTATAAAATTAACATGTTTACAAGAAAACAAGTGAAAAACAAACTGACAATGAAAAATTAGTTCATTGAACTGCAACAACTTTACCGATAATTATCATTCTATAAGTCTGGAATCAATGTCGATCTTCAATATAGAATAATTCAAATAATTTAAAATATGCAATGTACAACATGTGTACAATTCAATGCTTGTTTTTTTACAAAAACTTTTTTTATACGCAATTTTGGTTTTTGTTTTTCATTTTCATTATGTTGAAATTCTGACACTTTTAGATACAAAAGCAGCAAAATCTCTTCCAGGTATGTTCTGGATGATGGAAATCTGAATATCAGTAAGTCTAAGTCCTTCACCCAGCTAATATCCAGCAATCCTGCAGCAGAAAATGAAAAACAAAACGTCAAGATGATCAACTATTTATTCTATAAGCATGGGTGTAAAGCCAAGAAAAATAAATAAAAATATACATTAGAATTAAAGATGACTTATTTATTCAACAGCAAAAAGTTTAGATTATCACTTTGTACTCAGACTGTTGAGAAATCTGGTTCTATAAACAGTGTTTTTTATAGTTGCTCACAATTAAAATGCAAATCCTCCGCAGTCAAATGCATCAAAGTCGGAGTCTCCTTCAAAGTCGAAGCTGTTAAAATTCGGGGAGTCCACATCCTGGCTGCAGGCGTGGAAGGAGCCTCCTGTGGGAAGATCTGAGAAGGTTCCTGAGCCTTCAGCAATCTCTGGGGCTCCGGTGGCCAGGGGCGTAGTGGGGGAGCAGGAACTGAGGTAGCCCAAAGCGGAGGAGGCCGCTGCCCCACCCATCAGCAAACATACTGCCCTCACTGCCCGGGCATCACTGCTGTTACCATGACGAAGGCAATCAGACACACGGTGAGGAGGGGCCACAGACACACTCCGCTGAGGCTGCCTCAGTCCAACTCCTATAATACAAAGCAAACAGTGGAAATATAGTTTAGATACTCTGTTTTTTTTATTTACGTTTTATTAATAATCAAGTCAATAATAAAATGTTTCTGGATTAGATAGAGCTTTATAGTTTTTACTTAAAACTGGGTCAAGAACAAATAACAGAAGCAAATTACTGGAATCTTGCAGTTTAAGTAAAAAAGCAAATGTTCCTGTACTTGTAACTGCTCTGCATATGAAAACACCATTAAATAGTATTGACCACTTTTTCTCCTTCTACCATAAAAACAAAAGAAATATAAAATTAGAATAAATACAATCTTCATAATCCCTCACCCCCCAGAATGACTTCACCTACAATCCCTGGTATTTGAGGCCAGTGGTGCCTTATTCATGGAGCATTTGAGCAACACTTAAACTACTATTGATTGTTAAAGCTGAATTGTGTAATCTTGATTAATCTTAGGGTCAAGTTTTAATTCATTTTCTTAAACATGTAAAACCAAATTTCTTTTTATTCATTTATTTATTTATTTTTTTTTTTTTTAAGAAAAATCTGAAATTAAATACCAAAAAGCAAATGTCATTACTGACCCAAGGGGGAAAAAAAATCATTTTAGAGTTTTTTGGAGAATTTGTTAAAGATTTGGATCTCTAGGCAGTAGAAAAGAATATTAAACTGGCTGTGAGTTCTGTATTTAATATGCATTGCCGTAAAGAATAGCATTAGAAGGCTGCTGTAAAATATTTAACAGCATGTTTTAAAGTCTGGTGGGATGAAAAAATCTGAAATTTGGGAAAAAGTTATAAACCACTGACTCTAAATCTAATTCTGCAGCCTCTATTAATATAATCTTCTTTATGGTTGTTTTCTAACTGATTACTCTCACTACTATCACTCCTGCTTATTTTGTTATCTCTAAAGCACCACAGAAAAAACACTGCAAAGTGCTTTTTACGGAGACTTAAAGTCAAAAACACTGTAAAAAGTCCGAAGAAAAATAAAACAAACACCTTTTTGTAGAACTCTCTCTGTGTTCCCAGTGTTTGATGACAACAACCTTTAGACTGGCTGTGAGTCTGTGTCCTTAGTGGAAGGGACTGATTTAATTTGACCAATTTATTTGCTTTGATTCATAACTGATCAATCACTGAGCCACATGATGTTCCAGCAGCCTGTCCCATTTGATAATATTTTAGATATGTATAATTAAATGGGATTCTTTAAATTCTTTGGTTATTTATTTGAAAATACATTTTCAAATTCCAGTATTTCATACTGGATTAATAAATACAATTTACAATTCCTCTTGATAATTGAATTTAAAATGCACATTAGAAAATGTTTGCAAATTGCCTGATTTGAATGTTGAATTTGAAATGGCTGGTGTTCTTTTCAGTGACTCTCTAGGTCCTCCATACTTGATTGGTGCAGCACTTTGTCATGGATTTTATCAGTTTTCTCTTTTTTTAAATAAAATGTAGACATAAGTATTTCCAGCTGTATCTCAAAAGTTTTTTGTTGTTGTTGTTTTTTTTTAACCTAAACCTTTAACTCTTACGGCTGATGTATATTTCTAATGATCAGTTGAATAAATGGAAAGAAAGAAAAGAAAACAGCCCCTCTAATGATGAAGTCCTTGGTATAAATAAAGAATAATAATTATTAGAGATAAGCTGACCTTGGTGTCTGTCTCTGAGGGAGCCTCCCCTCTCAGTGACCCGGGACAGAGGTGGTGTTATCCCACCAACCCTGGGTGAGCCGGGGTCTTTATCACTGGAGGAGTCGGGCAGCGGCTCTCTGTCTGTGATGCAGGGAGCGAGGCTTTGTTGTCTCTGGAGGAGCAGGGGAGACATCACACCCTAGGAATGAAGGAAAAATAAGCGTTTTATGCTGGTTGCACTCAAAGCCCCTCAAAGATAGCACTACCTCTATCCTTTATCAAGCGGTCCTATCTGATACAACCTCCATTTATGAATGTTAAAAGAGAATCTGGGCACTACTTTACACTGCATATTTGCCCAGGATCTGCTTGAAACATCTGCTGCACTGATCACCTGCTGCTTGAAGCACCTTTCAATGTGCATGCAGCTCCTACAGCACAGTTGCACAAACCAATCTGTTCTTTAGAACTTCAGCTCCATTCAATATAACATTAGAAAACCATTGCACACTGGAAATTCGACCATGCTACATCATTTGCAGTCATCAACCTGAGGAGAAGCTGATAATACTGAGAAAATAACAAAAAATGATAAAATAACAGAAAGGATTATTAGAGGGACTTTACTCAAAATGGATGCTTGATTAAAATGCCTCCCTTTTACTTTGTAAACTCTGTATTACTGACTGTTTAAACTTTGCTTTAAAAAGTCTTATAGCAGCCTAAATTTTTTTTCTTTTTTATGCTTATGAACTTTGCGTTGACTGGCTTATGTGCTTTGGGTCAAATAGGTTGTAACGGTTGTGTTTTTATTGAGTAATGACCTTTGCGTAAGATTAGCTGTCTGTGTCCCTTAAGGCAAGGCAAGAGGGATCACTGAAGACAATAGAGAAATAAAAGTGAGCTCTCATTACGCTTCCCAGTAGGTAGCTCTTCTTTTTTCACATTAGTGTCTTTATTAGGAGGGGTGGATGGACAACTGTTCAAGCTAGAGCTCTTATATGTCAAACTTTAATTTTCTCCTATTTAATAGATAATTCTAGATAGTTTTGGAAATAATGCTGTGTTAATTTCTGAAAGCATTTTACAACAGATATAGAGATGGAACCCCATCTATGAAAATTGGTTAAATGTTAGGTATTGTGTGTGGGATGGATTGATCTCTTACTTTAAAGTTGCTTTAATTTATATCTTTTTCAGCAAGATATAGCATATTTTAAAAATTGTTGCAATAACTAATAAGAGAGGTTGAAAATGTACACTTGATTTGGAGCCGATGACTCCCTGATTTTAAGATCTGGAGGAAAATAAAAGCAGGGATAAAATTTGTGAAAATGATCGAGATAGGACTTTACATGTAGAGATGAATGATCAAAATGGAAGCTAAATAAATTAGCTGCATTTCCATTACAAATGTGTGCAACATGACGCCAATATTTTGCTAATTTCAAAAATGCAAATTTTCTCAATTCCAGTTTTTAGTAGCTAACATAACTAATATTGCTTAGGAATACGTTTGTTATCGTCATAACTCTTAAAAAACATGCCAGCGATGGATGTAAACAAATGAGATATGTCCATATTTAAGCCACAGCTCTAGTGGGTGCCATCATCCTCCAACTACTATTCTCCTTTTTCTTCTGCATCTTTTTACAATCTAGTGGGCAGTTGACAGGTATATAAATATTTTCTACATGTTTTATTATTATGTCTATGAGCAATAAGGTCTACGTAGTTGCAGATCATATGACTCTTGTGATGCAAAAAAGTGCTTCCATTGCAGTTTTGTGAATGATAAGATCGATACGACTGGAAAAAAAAAACACATTAAAAAACATTTTATCAAAAAATGCTCTAAGATTTGCTTAATATCTGTGCACAGTGACCATGCTAACATTAACCAGTGATTTGGTTGACAATTTTGATCAAAAATAGTAGCTATATTATCATAAATAGCTGTACAATGTACATATAAATTATTTATTTCTACAGTATCACTGGGTAGGGTTCTTTCTTAGCTCTGAACTTAGACCTTTTCAGTAAAAATGGAACAAAGCAAAAGTTGCAGCTGTAGCACATAATTGGAGGTTGACTTTTGTTCTCTCAGATAAAACAATAAAAAAGCAAAATATTTCTTTTTTTAGCGTTGGGAGTAAAAGATTAACACTTTCTAACTTTATGATAGCTCTTCACTTTAATATGATCTTTATTCTGACAGCTGGTTGTGCACACCTAGCTTTTCAGTTATAAAAAAAACATTTATAGTTATGTCTCATAAAGAAAAGTTTTTACATCTTGTGATTGTTGCTTGTTAAAGTACCAATATTTTATTCAGAAGTTAAAGCTTTAATGAAGACACAGGACAAATAAGAAAATAAATAAACAGTGACTGACCTCTCTCACCTTCCTGATCAGCTTCAGCCAAAGACTAGGAAAGGTGAAAATGATATGTTATTATGTTCACAGAGGCACACTGATAACAACTACACAGGTTAATCTGTGTCAAACTAACAAACATGTGCAATAAAAAGTCTGATTGTCAGTAGGATAAAAGGAATGAGAACACTGGTTTGGTAATATGCTTGCATGTGCAGATAAAGTCTGATCATAAGTGGGACAAAGAACACCCACTTGCAGTCATCAGGGCTGTCAGACAGAAGCAGCAGGAACTTGTTCTGTGGCAGAATGAGGGCAAAGCAGCAATCCCTCCTGCCACCTGGGGGTAACTTGGGCAGGTCAAGGATTTCTCTTCCCTCAGCGATCGACTCACAGCTGTGTAGCGCCACCACCTGGTCAGGGGGGGACAGTGCATCCCGGCAAACCAACAGGCTTCCCTCCATAGTGAGCACAAGGTATTTCTCTTTCCAGTGTTTAAACATGAAGCCCCCTGCAGAAGGAAAGTACAGGGGATTTAACCCTTTATAGGGTTTCAGTGAAGTACTTAGCCAGTAGTGTTTTTGGAATACAGGACAGTTTTTATTACCTTTGTAACATTAAAAAATTATAGAAATTTTGATGGCAAAAATTAATGTCAGTGTAAGGACAAGAAACGCCAACTTGCCCGAATATATTGAGAAAAATAACAAAAGTGCTTCTATAACAAATTCATTAAAAAAAACACTGAGATTAAAAGAAACATATTTTCTGGTACAACATTAGATGCATTAATGCTGATCCAGTACTTAGATTTATTTGGTTTATAAACCTAAATATAAATATATATAAAAAAAAAGGCTTATTAACGTTTTACGTATTAAGTTTTCAATGAGCTTTTTCCCTTTTTTTGTTGGCTTGTTAACTGGGTAAACAAGGCTGGATGTAAAACTTGTTCTTCTAGACCTCACTTTTTTATTAGAAATATTAAACATCTAAAACTTCTACACAAAGGGAAAGTCTAGCTGTTTCAATCGTTTTATACAGGTGACCTTTGTTTATATAAAAATATCCTCACACAGTTGAGGAAAAAAACATCATATGATAATTAACAGGAACAGGAAAACACCTTCAGCCTGTTGATATGACTTTTGCAGCAATACCTTGAAGTTGCCGTCCTCATTCACTCATTATGACTCCTGCTTTACAACGCTGCTGCGGTTTGTTGACATTTGTTTCTGCACAGTTTTTCTTAAGGTCCAACCAATCAGATTCAAATCTGGACCTGATTTTTTTTTTTTTTTTTCAGCTATTCTATTGTACATTTTTTGCTTTTCTCATGATCATTGTCCAACTGATCTGAGTTAAGGGTGAAGTTTCAGCTCTTAGACAGATGACCTTATATTTGACCTGGGAAATGTTTTGTTAAACACAGAAGATCATGGTAAAATCATTAACCTGAAGGTGACCGGGTCCACAGGCTGCAAAACAAGCCCTTTAGCACAGTGAGTCCCCCCTTCTACACTGTGCTGACTAGTTGTTTTATATCAGTTTGCTCATATAATCTGTCTGTTTTTAACATGGAGTAATAGCATTGGATTAAAGTACTCTTCCTGAAACCTTCTGTATAACTAAGTTGGAACTTTCCAAATCTAATTCATGCTGTAGGGAGTTTTTTTTTTCAAACCATTGAAAAGAAACGATAGTATAGGCTATCTCACCTCCAACATAAGAAATGAATTAGACACATTGACTGAGGCTTGTATTGTCTGAGATAAAGCTCTTGAATGTTAAACACTATGATTTGACCTTGTGATATATAATAGGACCATGTCCAGAATTTTCCATCTGTGATTATTTTCCCTGTGTAGAATCAGACATGGGAATGGCCTCCTAAGCCTTTCCAGCTCATTGGATGCCAACAGGTGCTTTTATAGTGCTATTGCTGATGCCTTACTGCCTTAGCATTCCTCAAACACCTATAGATCTGAAAAATGTCAGTTGCTTTTCCGTTTATGTCAATTAATTAATCAATCAATTTATGCAAATAGCTGATGTTTCGGTTTTAAAACCATGGAAAGAGCAAAGGTACCTTACTAATGGAAGGTACCTTTGCTAATGTAAGGTACCTTTGCTAATGTAAGGTACCTTTGCTATGCACATAACTGAGAAATAAGTGGTATTTTTTATGTGCTATATCATATCTACAAGCTCTATATGAAAAATACTTTCTGTAATAGAAAAAATGTTGAAGTATGATTATGAAGAATGCTTCTGTGTCAGTAAAAAGAGCCATCTTAGCATTCAAAGCAGAACTATAGCAGCATATTACTTTTTATTGCATGGTCTGCATGCATTCAGGAGCACAGCTTATCAACAGTTGGTTAATCCTAACTTACACAGTCCTTTCGGAGACCCTCAATTCAGAAAATAGGAAGAGCTGAGATACATTAAATGCCAGTAAACAATAATCTACCATGATACAACTATCAGATGAAATCACAGCAGCCAGAAAACAGATGTTAACCATGAAATCCTGACTTGGCTTTAAAATCAAACCTCTTGTCCTTCTGCACAAAAACATCTGGAAACAATTTTATGAGGCATATTAACTCTTGGAGTAATAAGACTCTACTGAAGTGATGATCTGAGAAAGTTTCTTAATAGGCAAGTCTTCGGCACAAAACCTCACAAATTAACATCAAGTTGGCAGATGATAAGAACAACCTTATTTCTTTCATTTTTCGTTGCAAGTATTGTCTACTTTAAAAAAATAAAAAAACATGATCATTCCAAGATGAGATTTTTAAGAAAAAAATCTTTTTTTAATAGCTTTGCAAAATTGAACCATACAAATTACCTTATGTTTTATAAAATACAGATATAGACAACGGAGTCGACATAAAAGTGACATTTAGGTAAGCTAAGGCTTCTTATGTTGGAATTTATCACAAAGTTAAATAGTGATAAAAGGAGAACATATCAAGATAAAGGTGCAATTGTTTTCATAAATGCATTAGAAAGGAAGAAGCCTACCATATTTTCTGAGGAATCCTCGATGAACACCTGCTGTGCTCATGTTTGATGGTCAGCACAACAACGGAGAATGAAATGAAATCCAGAGAGGCTGATGCTGAAAAATAGGCTAAGAGAGGGAGAGTCAAGCAATAATCCCTACTATTTAGGCCTTCGCCACTAAAACCCAGGCTGCCTCTGCACAAATAAACATCATATGAGCACAAGAGGCCCAAATAATCATAGCAGCGTTGGTATAAATCCCACCAGCTTGTTCTCACAATTTGAAACTGCGTCATACTGCTTTGGTTATATTAAACAATCACAGATTTAAGGCTTCATTTTCCCACTTTCTCACAACCTACTGAAAGTGTTGACAACTTGTTATTAATCATAGGGAAACCTGTTCTCTCACACACATGTGTGGCCTCAGATGGCCTTGAGACCAGGGTTTGGATCACCTCTTGCTAAACCAGATTAAAACAGAGGGATTATTATTCCTGCGCAGCTGGACGGCTGCTTCACCAAAACTGTGGGTGGTCAACTTTGTAATCTGACCACAACCAGCGATTTCTAACTCTACCCATGCAGAAGCTCTCAAGGTACTTTATTGTTCGATTAAAAATCCCACCCCGCATTGAAATGTTCGGTTAAAGGATGTTAAAACTGTGTTATGTAAGAGGATGAATCTAATCGAAAAGCATTCATGCATCAATCAAACAGGTCCCATGTTCACACCTAAATGAGTTGGGGGGATAATTGAATTCTGACGGATGGGGATGTCAAGAACAATAACTGTTAAACAATCAGAGGGATGATATTAGATCAAAAGAAGAATGAAGTTCGAAACGTACGACATGGGAAGGATGGATTGGATCCCTCATCCCATGATGTTTGGTTGCAGTTCTTTTTTTTTTCAATTTAGATTTGTCCTGTTTGTACGGAAGAGGATTAGGGCCTCTGAAAAAAAAAAAGTTAACTGATTTTTTATTTTATTTCAGTTTAACATGGGAATTTAACAAGTCAGAATTCTGACTTTTTTCTCAGAATTCTGACTTTAATCTCAGAATTCTGACAG